AAATTAAAACTTTATAAATATTCACTGGAAGACAGCCCTTCTCATTCATTTATGAACTCTACATTGCTCTTGCATGATGATAAGCTGCAACACAGTTTAAAGACTATGGGAAGCCTAATATATTAACTATCTGATCCTTTACACAATATTAGCCAACCTCCATCTTTAATGAAAGGTTTATCTTTTTGGCACTGTCTATTTATTGAATATTTGTAAGATGCTCTGCTAGTCATCAAAATTAATTATCAAGCTACATTTTACGATTTAAAAGATGTGCCACTTCCACAAAATTATAAACTACTTTTATATTCATTGTAGAGAAATATTTTGTTATTTTATATACACTCTCTAGAGCCCCTCCTCTTTTACCTTGCTTGGTTTTGTTACTAAAATTAAGTGAGTGTGGGGATGAAACAATGGCTCCAGGGTTATGAACATTGGATGCTCTTGCAGAAAACCTGGGTTTGTTTCCCAGCACCCACACAGTGGCTTGCAACAGTCCTTAACACTAGTTACAGTATATCCTACACCCTCTTTTGACTTCTGCGGGCACTAGGCCCTCACAGTGGTGCACATACACACATTCATGTAATACACTTACTTGTAAATAAATCTTTATAATAAAACAAAACTAATTTACTAATAGTTGCAATTAAAAAATAGTTTTAATTCTATACCTCTATAGTGTATTCATAATTCATGAATTGTGCCTTTTGAAGGTAATGGAAGCACAACCTCTTACACACAGAGTAGGGGTCTCCCTTTCTCAAGGACAGATGAACCAGAAAGTGATTTTTGACAGCTTATGTGTGAGTCCTCCAGGTTATGGAGGTGGTGCTCTCCCCAGATTGGTTAACTCAAACTGGGCTTCCCTTATCTCGAAGCTGTACACCCTTGTCATATCCTGGGACAATGCTACCTACTTACATTCCTGGATCGAGATTCAACTCTGTATAACATGAAATCCTTCTTTGAAGACTAACTCCTTGATGGTTATTGTGGCCTGCAATCTATCTGGAGAGGTGAACTCAAGATATTTACAAATCCTTTGTGGTGGCATCTATGATTCTGTGCAGCTGAACATGTTCAGTTATTCCCTAGGAAACAGTTCCTCTCTTCCTTTATTTGTTTAGGCAAGAACCTGTTGTGGAATGTCCAAAATTTTAAGTGATTCTGCCTCATAGCATGTGTTAGATACTATACAGAGAGTTTATGACTTCTCAATTTTCAGCTTCGGATTTCTGGAATTAGTTGTGTCCATGTTTCTTCTTGTTCAACTGGGATTCAATGTTGTTAGCAACCTTCTGTGTGGTTCTAAGATACCCTGACCTTTTGAAACTTTTCCAGGTGTCAATGCCACTTTCTTGTTCTCTGCAATATAAGCTGCATTGTTTAGTGGCATTAAGTTCTATGAACTTTGGAAACCCTCCCAGAGACTATGAATTGACTAATACCCGAGGCTGCATAAATATGCAGACACAAATGTTCCTAAAGCCAAGCCTGCTGGGCAGTGCAGGATCTGACCTGGAGTCTGGGGAGAGGAACATTGTGCTCACTTGTGGATCTGTGACAAGCTCCAGGTGCAGCTTAAGTGGTTGGATTTCTGGCCCTCAGAAGTACCCTCAGCAGAGCACAGCAGAATGCACTGTGCGGATGTCAGGAATTCCATGAGTACCCTCTGGGCCTATTAAGGCCTCTAGCTTCAGAGGGTCTTAAAATACATTTCAGCATACATAGAAACATAAAAAAGATATAGTTTTCTTTTTTTTTTTTTTTTTTACACTTTATTCACTTTGTATCCCCCCATAAGGCCCTCCCTCCTCCCCTCCCAATCCCACCCTCCCTCCCCCTTCTTTACACATGCCCCTCCCCAAGTCCACTGATAGGGGAGGTCCTCCTCTCCTTCCTTCTGATCTTAGTCTATCAGATCTCATCAGGAGTGGCTGCATTGTCTTCCTCTGTGGCCTGGTAAGGCTGCTCCCCCCTCAGAGGGAGGTGATCAAAGAGCAGGCCAATCAGATTATGTCAGAGGCAGTTCTTCTTCCCATTACTATGTAACCCACTTGGACACTAAACTGCCATGGGCTACATCTGTGCAGGAGTTCTAGGTTATCTCCATGCATGGTACTTGGTTGGAGTATGAGTCTCTACACAATGGAATATTACTCAGCAATGAAAAATAAGGAAATCATGAAATTTGCAGGTAAATGGTGGGACCTGGAAAGGATCATCCTGAGTGAGCTGTCCCAAAAGCAGAAAGACACACACAGTATATACTCACTCATATAGACATATGACATAGGATAAACCTATTAAAATCTGTACATCTAAAGAAACTAATCAAGAGAGAGGACCCTGACTAAAATGCTCAATCCCCATCCTGAAAGGCAAAGAGGATGGACATCAGAAGAAAACAGGAAACAAGCTAGGAACCTGCCACAGAGGGCTTCTGAAAGGCTCTGCCCTGCTGACTATCAAAGCAGACGCTGAGACTTATTTATGGCCAACTGTTGGGCAGATTGCATGGAATCTTATGTAAGAAGTGGGAAATAGTAAGATCTGGAGAGGACAGGAACTCCACAAGGAGAGCAACAGAACCAAAAATTTGAACACAGGGGTCTTCCCAGAGACACATACTCCAACCAAGTACTATAATTTTCTTTTAAAGGAGTCTGATTTAAACGCTAAGTTTTCTTTTCTGGGTAAGGATGAGGTTGAGATAGGGTTTCACGAAGCTTGGGTTGGCCTTGAACTCAGTATGTAGTGAGGGATGGTCTGAATTCTTTGATCGTCCTGCCTCAACCTCCTCAGTGCTGGGATTACAGGAGCACCACAACACATGGTTAAAGACAAATTTTCTATGAACTTAATGTACCTAAGTTAAAAGCTATTGAAGTCAAGTTTGGTGACACAGTTAAGACTTAGCAAGGGTTTATACTTAGAGCAAGGATCCTCTATTACTTTGGCTTTGGGCTTACATGGTCGACTGTACCAGATTTCTCTGACCTTCTTTTAAAACCTCACAGATTGGCTAGCTTAACAGATGAATCATGCTGCCAAAATATACGAGAAGAGAGGACTGTGGATATAAAATTACATATATAGACTAATAAAATAGAAGTTCTCTTATCTTCAAATAATGTATAGCAACTTTGGAGTTTAGACATGTTGTGAAAAAACTAGTAATGATTTTTAAAGCATAAATACAACAGGTGCAATGGTGACAGTGGCCATCCACTGCTGTCCCTCATTGATCCCCTCTCTACCAGGAGCTGCATGTCCTCACAGTCCTGAGCCATCTGTTAAAAATCATCCCAGTTGAGCTCCAGTGTGCAAGAATCCTGAGGGTCCTGGGTGGCAATGGTGGTAGTGTGACTCTGAGGAGGGCTAAGTCTCATCTGTTTTGCTTCTGTCAGCTGAGCCCCACAGTCGGCTGCATGTGGCTGCAAGAGTATATAGTCACACACTGTAGCTACTTTGAGGTATACTTCCATTGGTAGTACCCTGCTGAGGATTCAATGACCATGGAACCCACAGGTAATGTTCCAATGGCCAGAATTGCATGTACATGGGTCTTTTTGTGTGTATCTGTATGCTTCTACTTTTGTAACTAATTAGAAAAAAATAACAAAAAGAAAAGTATGAAACAAATACAGTGTACTTCATGTCACACGGGGCAAATGAAAACTCTAACATGAAAAACTTACAAGAGGAAAATTGGAAAATATGTGTGATGTAGGGTAAAATTATGAGTGCAATATCATACTGTGTGAGAAGCTTTTGGAAGAATTCATATTAAAAGGCACTGGAGAGAAGGTTCAGTGGTGAAGCGCATGCATTGCTCTTGCAGAGTTTGATTCCCAGCATCTATGTCAGGCAACTCACAACTGTACCTAATTCCATCTCCAGGGAATCCTATGCTTCTAACATCTGTGGGCACCTGAACTCAAGTACACATACCTACTCACTCCGATACACGCAATAAAAACAAATCTTTAAACACAGAATTTGTGTTACAAAAGCTTAGAGTCTTAATGTCCTGCCAGATTAATTTGATTTTAAATTTAAATATAGAATATTTAATTGTATCTACGTTTTCAAATTTTATGACAACAATGGGCTGATTTAATGTGAAAAAACTAAAAATAACTAAAAGACAAGAAACTAGCTCTTGGGGTACAGAGGGGAAAAGAAAGGAGGTGGAGCCTGAGGGTGGAACAGACTCTGAAGCTGGCCTAGGGACCACATGGAAAAACTTGCTCTCTAATTGAATGACCTACTTTTAATCACAAGCAGATAATAGTTTATTACCCAGAGTTTTAGAAATATATTGTTCCTGGGAATACTTCCTAGGATTTCTTTTTCTTATTTAAGACCACATCTTTGTATTTAATTCATCCGTAGACTATCTCTGCGGGGTACATCTCTCTAATTATCCTCATCTAAAGTGACAGGGAAATGGAATTATACCGCTTGGAAAACAGACATCCTTTGCTATGTCTTTTCTTAGTGTTCCCCAGGGCAAAATTTGTCATTATGGTCACTGCATGATCTTGAGCTGTCCCTGAAGTCACAGACTGTGACTTTCTGTCTTTGCATTGCTACTAACAAGCATATACCTGGTACAAAACATGTACACAGAGGAAACTGGAATCAATGAATGGTTCATATGCTCAGCACATAATGCTGACTGCATTCTAAGGACCAGTCTAGCACCTTACACAGAGCAGGGACTATTTCATCCCTATTCTGTAGATGAGAAAACCAAAGCACAGAAGGTGCAGCAAATTCCCAGCACAGGACCCAGACCGCTTAGTTCTAGAGGCCTGTCTCTTCCCCGAGCAGCACCCATGCTCACTAGGAAGTACACCCTCTGAGCATTCCTGAGTTTCCACCAAATGCCACTACATAGGGAAATAACAGCACTCAGACACACAAATGCAAAATAAACAGATACCCAACCTCAACAATGACTGTTTGTAAGACTGATTCTCAAATACCTGTGGGGATCTGTGAGAACGCCAGCTGTACTGGTGACTATGGAGACTCGCCAGCAGAATATTTTCATCAGTGTCCACCTGGCCAAACCGCAGTGTCTCCTGTGTGTCATTACAGATCACAAAGTGGCTGAAGACCAACTCCTCTACCTCAGGGCATTTGTTCTGGAAGAAAAAGAATATGAAAGCCAATGTGTGTATCAGATTAATTGCAAGATGTTTGGCAGCTGTCTGCCCAGTGGCCATTGTTATACACATAAATGTTGAAGGATCTGTTGTCATTAGCTCTGGTATACAGAATATTCTATATTTTCAGGATAAGCACAACAAAAATATCTTAAAGACATCATATGTTCCAGGAATGTGTTTTGATTTATACTCCTACAAAATAAATCATACACACAGAAGAGGAAAAGAACAACGAGATCCCACAAACATTTAACATTTCTTAAAATGAATTAACATGCTATAAAGAGTGCTGTGCTGGGCTGTGCACATTTCTGAACAGAGTAACAGAGGCTAGAATTACCATATTCCCAGCCCTCTAAACTCCACAATCAAGGCCAATTACCAAAGCCACAGTTTGTACCCTACAGAAAGCAAGGATCATTTAGGTTGCTACAATCCTGGGGTCCTTAAGAGGGAGAAAGGGAGGAAGGAAGGGAGAGAGGGAGACTCTGTGTGTGTGTGTGTGTGTGTGTGTGTGTGTGTGTGTGTGTGTAAATCTGCTCAGGGAGAGATATAAATAAAACCATAACTTTCCCTCCATTGTTAAGAGGCTGAACATACAAAACAGATCAGCTTCAGAACCCATTTAAAGGCCAAGTTGAAATTTTTAAGAGGAATAATGTTAGTTGAAAAAGTTTCCAGGATCTGTTTCATTCAGCAAATAGCTCAGGAGCTATTCTCCATTAAGCAGCTAAGGCTCATCTAATTAGCAACAGATTTCTATGAATACCTGTTTCTCAGTCTAAAGGGTCCCTATTAGTTGCTGTGACATCAAAACACTGGCTGTATTGTTTTTATCACCTAGACCATGGCCTAAAAACCAGTTAATATGCTTTCAAAAAACTAAAAGCACAGAATCAACTTGAGTATGTAAGGACTTCCCAAGTAGCTAGTCGATTTACAGGTAATGGCAATACTTTCTGGATAAGGATTTAAAGAATGCCACACTCTATAGTTTTCCCCTTTATTGAGGGGAGGGAGAGTAAATGATGATGTAATTCAGAAGCAGGATGATGCAGGGGATTAGTAAGCATGAAGCCTAAGGAGTCTACAGATGAATCTAAGTGGTACCCAGCCAGGACAGAAACCAAAACTAGAATGGTATCAACAAAAAACCAGGGGAAACAGAATCCAACCCACACCATGCAGAATACTCCCCAGGTGGGTGTTCTATAGTTACAGGTGGTGAGAAGACCCTCATGGGACTCATTGTACTAGACATCTTTGAGGATCACTACCACTACCACCACCACTACCACCACCACCACCACCACCACCATTGCCACTACCATCATCATTTTTTTTTTTTTTTGGAAATATTTGCTGTATTTGATATAAGGAAAAAAAAAAGTCTGGATTTCCTTTTTTTCTTTTAAAGTGAGTTTAAGGATGGGGTAGTCAAATACAACAAACTTTTACTTTTTTCTTTTTTCCTTTTTATTAATCACACTTTATTCACTTTGTATCCCCCCATAAGGCCCTCCCTCCTCCCCTCCCGATCCCACCCTCCCTCCCCCTTCTTCACGCATGCCCCTCCCCAAGTCCACTGGTAGGGGAGGTCCTCTCCTTCCTTCTGATCTTAGTCTATCAGATTTCATCAGGAGTGGCTGCATTGTCATCTTCTGTGGCCTGGTAAGGCTGCTCCCCCCTAAGGGGAAGTGATCAAAGAGCAGGCCAATCAGTTTATGTCAGAGACAGTATCTATTCCCATTACTATGGAACCCACTTGGACACTGGGCTGCCATGGGCTACATCTGTGCAAGGGTTCTAGGTTATCTCCATGCCTGGTACTTGGTTGGAGTATGAGTCTCTGGGAAGACCCCTGTGTTCAAATTTTTAGTTCTGTTGCTCTCCTTGTGGAGTTCCTGTCCTCTCCAGATCTTATTATTTCCCACTTCTTACATAAGATTCCATGCAATCTGCCCAACAGTTGGCCATAAGTCTCAGCATCTGCTTTGATAGTCTGCAGGGCAGAGCCTTTCAGAGGCCCTCTGTGGTGGGTTTCTAGCTTGTTTCCTGTTTTCTTCTTCTGATGTCCATCCTCTTTGCCTTTCAGGATGGGGATTGAGCATTTTAGTCAGGGTCCTCTCTCTTGATTAGTTTCTTTAGATGTACAAATTTTAGTAGGTTTATCCTATATTACATGTCTGTATGAGTGAGTATATACCGTGTGTGTCTTTCTGCTTCTGGGACAGCTCACTCAGGATGATCCTTTCCAGGTCCCACCATTTACCTGCAAATTTCATGATTTCCTTATTTTTCATTGCTGAGTAATATTCCATTGTGTAGATGTACCACAATTTCTGCATCCATTCTTCAGTTGAGGGGAATCTGGGTTGTTTCCATGTTCTGGCTATTACAAATCAAGCTGCTACAAACATGTTGAGCAAATGTCCTTTTGTGTACTTGAGCCTCTTTTGGATATATGCCTAGGAGTGGTATGGCTGGATCTTGAGGAAGCGCTATTCCTAGTTGTCTGAGAAAACACCAGATTGATTTCCAGAGTGGTTGTACAAGTTTACATTTCCACCAGCAGTGGAGGAGGGTTCCCCTTTCTCCACAGCCTCTCCAGCATGTGTTGTCACTCGAATTTTTCATCTTGGCCATTCTGATGGTTGTAAGGTGAAATCTCAGGGTCGTTTTGATTTGCATTTCCCTAATGGCTAATGAGGTTGAGCATTTCTTTAAGTGTTTCTCTGCTATTCTATATTCCTCTAACAAGAATTCTCTGTTTAGTTCTGTTCCCCATTTTTTAATTGGATTACTTGGTTTGCTGCTTTTCAGCTTCTTTAGTTCTTTATATATACTGGATATTAGCCCTCTGTCAGATAAAGGGTTGGTGAAGATTCTTTCCCAATCTGTAGGCAGTTGTTTTGTTTTGACGACGGTGTCCTTTGCTTTAGAGAAGCTTTTCAGTTTCATGAGGTCCCATTTATTGATTGTTGATCTTAGAGCCTGTGCTGTTGGTGTTCTGTTCAGGAAGTTGTCTCCTGTGCCAATGAGTTCTAGGGTCTTCCCCACTTTTTCTTCTAACCAATTTAATGTGTCTGGTTTTATGTTGAGGTCTTTGATCCACATGGACTTTAATTTTGTGCAGGGTGGTAAGTATGGATCTATTCACATTTTTTTTACATGTAGACATCCAGTTAGCCCAGCACCATTTGTTGAAGATGCTATCTTTTCTCCATTGTATGGTTTTGGCGTCTTTGTCAAAGATTAGGTGTCCATAAGTTTGTGGGTTTATTTCTGGGTCTTCTGTTCAGTTCTATTGATAGACCATTCTTTTTCTATGCCAGTGCATGCAGTTTTTATAACTGTTGCTCTATAGTATAGCTTAAGATCAGGGATGGAGATACCTCCAGAAGATCTTTTACTGTAGAGGATTGTTTTAGCAATTGTGGATTTCTTGTTATTCTATATGAAGTTGAAAATTTTTCTTTCAAGGCCTGTAAAGAATTGTGTTGATAATTTGATGGGAATTGCATTGAATCTGTAGATTGCTTTTAGTAAGATGGCCATTTTTACTATGTTAATCCTGCCAAGCCATGAGCATGGGAATCTTTCCATCTTCTGAAATCTTCTTCTAATTCTTTCTTCAGAGACTTGAAAATTTTTTCATACAAGTCTTTGACTTGCTTTACCAATATCATTTTTTCTTCCTATGCTTCTTCAATAATCTATCCATCCTTGTTTAACCTCTCCGTTCTTATGGCTCAGAACCTTGCTTGACAGGCACACTAATTAGCAGAGATAATCTGGCTGAGACCAAACACTTATGACCATTAGTGCTCTTTGTCATGGCTTTTAACAGCTAGTCATGAACTTCAAACATGACTTTTTGGGGTTTCAGAAGGAAACTTTATCTGGGCTGCATTTCAAGTCTTCAATTATTATGGCATGCTCCACTTCTGCCTGCCCTTCCCCAGGTACTCTCCCACTACTTTGACTTCAATGTTCAGTCAAGTGTCAAGCCGTTTTCTGCCCCAGTCAGTTACCTCTTCTGAGACTTCTTTACCTCTACCACTTGTTGGACTGACCTGCTTGTATTCAGCCTCAGGTTCCTCTGAGATTTGCCCCTTCCCCTCCCTCCAAGGCCTGACTAGTTTCCCCATTTGATGCTGACATGACACTATAATTCAGTTTCAAGATACCTATTCATTTGCTCCATTACCAGATGCTATGCTTGCTGCCTAGGAGAAGGAACATGACCTGCATCTTTTACAACTTTACCTCAAATACTCAAAATAATTTTTGATGTTTGAGTACTAAAACTTAGGAAACAAACAACAAAAACAAATATATGCTTGTTTTCTAACTATGCTGGGAATTTGAACCCAGTGCCAGATGCACACAGGCAAGCACCTGAACAGTGAACCACACCCTTCCCTAACTTTAATAATTATATTGGTAAAATATGTTGACTTTATAAAAACTAAAAACATTTTAAAGTGACTTCAAATGTCTAATTTTTTGCTCAGATATAATTGCCAGCCACAGCTGGAAAACTATTTTTTAAGCAGTCTTTTTTTTCTTTTCTTTTAAATGTTCTGGCTGTTACTATGAGCCTGCTCTATCCAATCCTATTTAATGTATTTATCTAAAACCTCTAAGCAGCTAGAGTCACAGTGTGTAATTAGTTTTGATGAGATTTTTCCACTTAGTATTATATAATCAAAATAAACTATTCTCCTTATAAACATTTCTCTCTCCTTTCCATGCAAAAGTAAAAACATGAAGGAAAGGGTATGACTCCAATCCCCACTCAGTTACACATCCTGATGTTAAAATTCAGTTTTCATAATGAATTGGGATCAGTCTCAACACAGAGGTTAAGTTACCAGCTGGAGGTTGAAAAAAAATCATAATCCTTTTTTCATCTCTAAAAACTGATGAGGGTCTAATAAATGATGAGGGGTTTAGAAAAAAAAATGTAAATTAAAGAATACAAGGAGGTTGTTTATACTTTTATAAGGAATGCTTGAGGTCCTTAGGGAACTATTTCTCAACTGCTCCTTCATCTTTGGAATTTATTATAACTATAATAAGCTTCAAATTTTCTTGGAATGTTTCAGATTCTGTTATATTATATAAAAACCTTATATTCATTTATGTAAAATCATCTACACTGTGTCCTAGAATGCTTGCGAGGATGGCTTATTCATATTTTTAGTTCATGTCATGTTGAACAGGCATCTACATGGCAGAGATAATATTTGCTATAAGAGAAATGTGAGTGCAACCTCCATTTAAATGTTATTGTGTTTAAATCAGGAAAATTGACACAGAAAGCAAAAAGAAAGTGGTGTTTTGAGTTTGTAATGTACTTTAAAAAAACCACAATCATTTCGCAGACAGACAGACAGATACAGATACACAGACAGACAGAGAGAGACAGAGACAGAGATTGCTCTTTAACCATGGAAATAAGAAACTGTTAAGTTTGAACTTATGACCCGAAGGTGAAGGGCCAAACTGTTTTATGCCTGATAATAATATGATTTTAAAAAATAGATGGAGAACTCAAACCTCTTGTTTTCCTCATTAAATTCATTTTTCATTGTTAATAACTATACTATGTATCAGCATTATTGAAAATACAATAAAAATCCAAGTTTCAGAATAAACTTCCTACTAAAGACAATAAACTACATTCAGTACAGGAAAAACAAGCATAATAAGCCTTTGTCAGCCTAGTGGTAAATGTTCTCTGATTTCAAAGTAGTGTGCTTTCATTTTTACTTTAAATACACAGGATTCAATGCCTACCACATTAAAACTTGGTGGCAAGTACCCTTGACATGGGAGGAAACAAGAAAATTATAGGAACAATTACAGAAGTATATCCTCCTGTGGCTCATGTTAACATTGCCAAATCCCTGTATAAATCAGAACTATTCATAGAATGTACCTGTCAGCAATCAGCTGTCTGACACATGGCTCTACTTAATGGAATATTCCTTCAAGGCACTGTGTTAGCCAGTCAGTCAGTCGCGCAGTCTGATGTGGTTTAAAACATTTAAATATTTATGTCCCATATTTTATTTATGTGTATAGCTATGTCACAGAATATTTTTTCTGTGAGAAAACTGATATTTTAAAGGCCATTTTGCAGTAGTTGTTACATATAAGTCAACTAAAAGCTCTGATGCTAAGACAAAAACGAGATATATTTAAATACCCTATCAAAGATTCTTTTCTATTTTCTATGTTTGTTTTGTATTAAATGCATTGTTCAAAATATGAAAAAAACCCTAGAAATTGGAGCTATGGAAGTTTTTTTTTCACATTGCTATTTGAACCAGCTGCAAAGATTTCAATCACACTAGCTCTTATTTTACGCATGTCCTTTGCAACATGAAAACCATGGAATGCCCTTAAAAAAGACTTCAAATATAAACCAGATGTGTTATCTTCTTTCCTTTTGCTATTGCAATACCACGTCAAGCAATTAATCTCTTAGTCTTGTATAGGTCTTCATGCATATAAGGTAAACATTAACTTTTATTTCTATAAAATTTAATTCTCATAAACATTTTAGGTTAGAGAACCTGAAAAAATTTAGAACTATTTATTTCCTAAAATTGTTTCCATAAAGATCCTCAAGTTATTCTCATAAAATTTTCCCCCAAGTTCTCTTCCTTCTTCCCAGGAAGCTTCTTTACAGGAGCAGATGCCCTTCCTCCACCTCTAGAGCCTGCTACTGAGAGAGCTCAGCACACAAGGACTCACACTGGGAAGCCAGCTCCACACAAGTATTTGGAACATGCACAAAATGGTGACAAATGTCTCAACATAAATGGTGACTAAATGTGAGGGCAGCAATGAAAATAAGCAGTGATCTGTTGCATTATTATCATCCAAACATTCTGTGGGACTGTTCCCATGCTGCCAGAGACAGGCAGCTTTCCCATTTTAAGTATGCTATTTTGCATTGGTTTACATTACGTCTGTTTTTTGATATGCATAATCTTCCTATAAAAGATGCAAAAAATTTTAAAGTTATTACAGCTCTCTAGTAGCCCGTGGTAGCTCAGTAACCAATTGGTTTCCCATAGTAAGGGGAATAGGGACTATTTCTGACAGGAACTATTTCTGGCAGGCTTTTTGACCTCTCCACCCTCCAAGGGAGAAACAGTGTCTGCTATGACACCAAAGAGGACTTTGCAGCAAGTCCTGAAGGTACCTGATAAAACAGGATCAGATGAAAAAGGAGGAGATCCTCCCCAATCAGTGGACTTGGAAAGGAGCAGGGAGGAGATGAGGGAGGGAGAGTGGGATTGGGAGGGAATAAGGGAGTAAGATACAGCTGGGATACAGAGTTAATAAAATGTAACTAATAATAAAAAAATAAATAGATAAAAAACCCAGTTATGTAGGGGGAAAAAAATTTAAGAATTCATTCTGCAGTACTTTTAAAAAGGCGGCTGTCAGCAAAAGGAAAGACAAGACTGCTCTATTTCCAGCATCTACCCCACTGTTCATTCATGTTTTTGAGATTTTGGAAAACTTAATTTAAGTCCTTTATTTCTGCAATGGGCATTCAGACACTCTGGTACATACCAACGTTGAAGCTTTAGCTAAACAGAACCATATCACTTCAAAAAATAATTCCTGGGAATAGTTACTTTCCACCCAAATGTGGTAAAGTAGATGGAATGACCTCTGATGTATGTGTCAACCCACAGCTTTCTCCAGAGCTTTCTAAAGAGAACCCTTGTATCACTTTACCTGAAGAAGTACCCTCATACTCAGGTCTGTGTTTAACTTATAAGTGGTAACATAGAAGGTATAGTAAAAGATCACACGTGGCCCAACTGTAACCAGTTCTGGAACGTGCATACCTGTTTCCAAGCTTGTATTGCAGTGTTTAGGGAGTGAACTACATGCTGCCCAAAGTTCACAAGCACAGAGTTCACAATCATGGAGCAGTCGAGCAGCTTCTGAACTCCATCACTACAGAGTGCGATCTGTCCAAAGATGCCAAAGGGTTTCACCACACTTTGCATCGTGACATTTCTGAATTCCAGAAGTTTACAGTCCACCTGTGATGAGAACCGGATCTCCTGGGAGATAGAACCACCACTCCACTGTCGAAAATACAGGTTTGGTTCTCTGAAGGAAATAATCATGTATTCCAGTTCAGACGGCACATTTTTATCAGAAATGAATGGCTGTAGGTGCTGTGGTGAAGCTTTTAAAAACACAAGAAAAATAAAAATTAAGATGTGCCAATCCTTAATGAAAACAAATGAGGTGACATTTAAATGATTTACTTTGTACTTGAATTTAGAACTTGGTATTAATAAATTTAAACAATTGTTCTGAAGATGTTAAAATCCTTGAAGTACCAACAGACATTTGAAAATACATTGTTTTGTTCAGTCGGGTCTCTTAAATGTATATCCCTCAAAGGTTCTTTTCATTTCTACAGATAAAAATTTTTATCACAGTAACAAAAGGAAACAACCATCTAAATCTCTATATCTACCAACCAAATCTCTAAAACAACAAAAACATGAGTCTAGAAAAAGCAGTTAAACTCTATTCTTGCTGAACAAGCAAGATGCTTAACAGCAGCCCTGTTTGCTTTTAATCTCCTCCTTTTTCCCATTACATGTAGGTTGAAAACCTAAATCTTAAATCAAACTGTATTAATTAGGAAAGGGTTCATACTAAACACAATATTTGAGAAATAATTATTCAAGTAACAATAAGAGTTTACTGGAGCCTACTTTTGCTACATGAAGGAAATTTATTCACATTCTTTCTAAATATGTAAAAATATGAGTTCTGTTAATTTAATGAGAATATGCCCATCTTATATAGAATAGGCATCTTGAACAGAAGTGATGTATATCAAGTTCATTTGGGTTCTATTTCTCACTAATGTAAGATACAGACTAAAACATCTTTCAAAAAGATCCTAATTGGTATAACAGTAGAACCTGCAGCAAACAAACAAAATTGCTTGAAAATTCTCTTAGAAAACATGTCACTGTTATGTCACTCATTGGCACCAGATCAACTTTGGAGTAACTTTGCTAGTGCCCAGTGCCCAGTGCCAATGTAAAGTAAGGCACTGTGTGTGGACCACTCAGTACCATGGTAAGACGACTAAAGTGGGTGTTCTCTTGATGCTGAAATGATGTATACCTGTTCCTAGTTGGTCCAGGTGATGACAAAGACGAAATTCCAGGTGAGCAAACTGGAAGGACACACAAACAGATGGGACAAACCACGGGGTAAAACAGGAGTCGACTCTGGTGCAAGCAGCCAGGGCTGTTGGAGTCACAAGTGGCTCACAAGTACTGTGAGAGCCAGAGTCACTTGCAGAGCTGTGGAAAGGAGAGAAGCTCAGCAACCTTCAGTTCCCACCACAGAAGCACAGCGCCTTCCTAAAAGGCCACTCAAGGCAGTACTGAAAATCCTGCATTCATTATTTTAATCATCAAATCTCTTGTGCTACTCACACAATAAGTTTTTTTTTTAATTCATTTTATGTTGAATATTGTATTTGGATTATTTGCAGAAAACTCTCAAACTATTTTTCAGCCTTTGACTCATGTTAAGTTAGACCAAACTGTTCTTCAGCCTCATGTTGACTGAGGTCAAAACCAGTGTTTCCAATACTCCTTTTACAAAACTTATGGACAGTTTTGTGTCATGTGGTGTAAGAAGAACACAATTGTGAGCATGACTCTGCTGTTCAAAACCTAAAACTTTAGTGTCATTGTGAATGTTTCATCATTTCATTTCTCTATATTGCCCTTTTCTAGATTCTGTGAAGTGGTTTATACTCTTTATTGAAGACCTACTGAATACTGTATTAAGTGACATAAAATTATAACCATGTAGAAAGAATGAAGTCCTGTGGACAATCACTACAATAATTCTCTCTTCACTTGCCTAACCTCTTTTTTTATTTCTTTTTTTAATTAATTACAGTTTATTCACTTTGTATCCCCCCCGTACCTTGCTCCCTGCTCCCCTCCCAATCCCACCCTCCCTCTTCCCCACCCTTGTCCCTCTCTCAGTCCACTGAAAAAAAGAGGACCTACTCCCCTTCCCTCTGATCCTAGTCTATCAGGTCTCATCAGGAGTGGCCACATTGTCTTCTTCTGTGGCCTGGTAAGAGCAGGCCAATCAGTTCATGTCAGAGACAGCCCCTGTCCCCATTACTATGGAGGCCACTTGGATACTGAACTGCCATAAGCTACCTCTGTGCAGGGGTTCCAGGCCATTTCCATGAGTTGTTTTTGGCTGGAGTATCAGTTTCAGAAAAGACCCCTGTGCCCCGACTTTTAGGATCTGTCGCTGTCCTCATGGAGCTCCTGTCCTCTCCAGGTCTTACAATCTCCTACTTCTTTCATAAGATTTCCTGCACTCTGCCCAAAGTTTGGCTGTGAGTCTCAACATCTGCTTCGATACTCTGCAGGGTAGAGCCTTTCTGAGGCCCTTTGTGGTAGGCCCCTGTCCTGTTTCCTGTTTTCTCCCTCCTCCAATGTCCATCCTCTTTGCCTTTCTGAATGGGGACTGAACATCTTACCCAGAGTCCTCCTTCCTGATTAGCTTCCTTAGGTGTACATATTTTAGTATGTTTATCCTATATTATATGTTTAGTATCTACTTATGAGTGAGTATATACCCTGTGTGTCTTTCTGCTTCTGGGATACCTCACTCAGGATGATCTTTTCCAGTTCCCACCATTTACCTGCAAATTTCATGATTTCCTTGTTTTTTATTGCTGAGTAATATTCCATTGTATAGATTTACCACAATTTCTGTATCTATTCCTCAACTGAGGAATTTTTTTTCCAGCTTCTGGCTATTACAAATAAAGCTGCTAGGAAGATGGTTGAGCAAATATCCTTGTATACTTGAGCGTCTTTTGGATATATGTCTAGCAGTGGCATAGCTGGACCTTGAGGAATCGCTATTCCTTACTGTCTGAAAAAGCACCAGATTGATTTCCAGAGCTTACATTGTACAAGTTTACATTCCCACCAGCAGTGGAGGAGGGTTCCCCTTTCTCCACATCCTCTCCAGCATGTGTTGTCACTTGAGTTATTCATCTTAGCCATTCTGATGGGTGTAAGGTAAAATCTCAGGGTCGTTTTGATTTGCATTTCCCTGGTGACTAAGGACACTGAACATTTCTTTAAGTGTTTCTCTGCCATTCGATATTCCTTTAACAAGAATTCTTTGTTTAGTTCTGTACCCCATTTTTTTTAATTGGATTACTTGATTTGTTGCTTTTTAACTTCTTGAGTTCTTTATATATACTGGATATTGGCTCTCTATCAGATAGAGGGTTGGTGAAGATTCTTTCCCAATCTGTACACAGTTGTTTTGTTTGGATGACAGTGTCCTTTGCTTTACAGAAGCTTTTCAGTTTCATGAGGTCCCATTTATTGATTGTTGATCTTAGAGCCTGTGCTGTTGGCTAATGTGCCAATGAGGTCAAGGCTCTTCCCCACTTTTTCTTCTAACCAATTTAATGTGTCTGGTTTTATGTTGAGGTCTTTGATCCACTTGGGCTTTAGTTTTGTGCAGGGTGATAAGTATGAATCTATTTGCATTTTTCTAAATGTAGATATCCAGTTAGCCCAGCACCATTTGTTGAAGAGGCTATCTTTTTTCCATTGTATGGTTTTGGCATCTTTGTCAAAGATCAGGTATCCATAAGTGTGTGGGTTTATATCTGGGTTTTCTATTCGGTTCCATAGATCTACCAGTCTATTTCTATTCCAGTACCATGCTGTTTTTATTACTGTTGCTCTACAGTACAGCTTGAGATCAGGGATGGAGATACCTCCAGAAATTCTTTTATTGTAGAGGGTTGTTTTAGCAATTGTGGATTTCTTGTTATTCCATATGAAGTTAAGAATTTTTCTTTCAAGGTCTGTAAAGAATTGTGTTGGTAATTTGATGGGAATTGCATTGAATCTGTAGGTTACTTTTGGTAAGATGGCCATTTTTACTATGTTAATCCTGCTAAGCCATGAGCATGGGAGATCTTTCCATCTTCTGAAATCTTCTTCTAATTTTTTCTTCAGAGACTTAAATTTTTTTTTTTCATACAAATCTTTGATGTGTTTGGTTAGGGTCACACCAAGGAACTTTATGTCCTTTGTGACTATTGTGAAGAGTGTTGTTTCCCTAATTTCTTTCTCAGCACTTTTGTATACAAGAGGGCTACTGATAAATAAATAAATATATATATAACTATATATAACTAATATATATATATGTATATATATATATATATATATATATATATATATATATATATATATATTTAGTTAATTTTGTATCCAGTCACTTTGCTGAAGGTGTTTATCAGCTGTAGGAGTTCGCTGGTAGAATTTTTGTGGTCACTCAGGTATACTATCATATCATCTGCAAATAGTGATACTTTGACTTCTTCCTTTCTGATTTGTATCCTCTTGATCTCCTTCAATTGTCTTGTTGCTCTAGCTAGGACTTCCAGAACTATGTTGAAGAGATATGGAGAGAGTGGGCAGCCTTGTCTTGTCCCTGATTTCAGTGGGAATGATTTAAGTTTCTCTCCATTTAGTTTGATGTTGGCTATAGGCTTGCTGTATACTGTCTTTAGTATGTTTAGATATGTGCCTTGTATCCCTGATTTCTCCAAGACTTTAAACATGAATGGCTTTTGGATTTTGTCAAATGCTTTTTGCCATCTAAGGAGATTATCATGTGGTTTTTTTCTTTCAGTTTGTTAATATGGTGGCTCACATTGATGGATTTCTGTAAATTGAACCACCCCTGCACACCTGGGATGAAGGCTACTTGGTCATAGTGGATGATATCTTTGATGTGTTCTTGGGTTTGGTTTGCAAGTATTTTGTTGAGCATTTTTGTACCAATGTTTATAAGAAAGATAGGTCTGAAGTTCTCTCTTTTTTTTTGTTGGGTCTTTGTGAGGTTTAGGTACCAAGGTGACTGTGGCTTCAGAGAATGAGTTTGGTAAGCAAGAAGGAGGACCCTGGGTAAGATGATCAATCCTTACTCAGAAAGGCAAATGGGATGGACATTGGAAGAGGGAGAAAACAGGGAACAGGACAGGAGTTTACCACAGAGGGCCTCTGAAAGACTCTGCCCAGCAATGTATTAAAAAGGATGTTGAGGTTCATAACCAAACTGTAGAGTGCAGGGAATTATGAAAGAAGGGTGAAATAGAAAGACTTGGAGAGGACAGGAGCTCCACAAGGAGAGCAACAGATCCCAAACATCTGGGCACAGGGGTCTTTTCTGAGACTGATACTCCAACCAAGGACCATGCATGGAGATAACCTAGAACCCCTGCACAGATGGAAGATGGAGCACATGGTAGCTCATTCTCCAAGTGTTTTCCCTAGTAATGGGAACAGGGACTGTCTATGACATGAACTCAGTGGCTGGCTCTTTGATCACCAACCCCTGGTGAGGAGTGGGGGGAGGAGCCTTGCCAGGCCACAGAGGAAGACAATGCAGCCAGTCCTGATAAGACCTGATATAGGCTAGGGTCAGAGGGAATGGGAGGAGGACATCCCCTATCAGTGGACTTGGGGAAGGGCATGAGAGGAGATGAGAGTGGGATTAGGAGGGAATGAGGGAGGGGGCTACAGTGGGGATACGAAGTGAATAAACTGTAATTTATTTAAAAAAAAAAACTAAAAAAAAAAAAAATCACCCAAACTGTCTCCAGTGTATTCTCTGAAATCCACTGGTTTTTGATGAGGTCATCTCTACTCTGAGAAAGCAATCCTCCTCTACTTCTGCTAACTCCCTGGAGTGTTAGTGCTCTTTTACTTGTAAATCAACCCTACTTCTCACATATACTTTCATTGATAATATGTTGCTAGGTAATAGACTGGAAGGTAAATATTTTTAAAGAGCCTAGATAATCTGGAAATAGAATATATAAAGTTATGAAACATACAATGTAGTCAGTGAAAGAGACTGTGAAGCTACAGACCAAAATACTAACCAGAGTTATTCAGTGTAATAGCTTCAATGAGCACACATTATTAATACAAATAAATACTTTTAGAAGAAAAATAATTTGCCACTATTTACAACACAAAGTAGAAATTAGCACAACACACTGTGTTATGGTTATTACATATGGACAGAATCAGAGTTATATAAACAAAACAAAACAACACTTGATTTGTAATAGCACTGGAGTTACACTGCTTCCTCCCCATTAGTATTTGAATATTGTCCAGGGAGAAAAGGGAGGCACTGGACAAGGGAACAAAGGAAGCAAGCATTAATGCTAAGCCACAAGGAGTACCAAAGATAAGGCACTGAGTGGAAAGAACACAGGGCCTCACTGCACACACAGGCTATTGCCCAGGAAAGGGTCCCCTGATTGAGGCTTACAGTCTTCCTTTTTAAAAACTTTTGTGAAAGCATAAGCAGAAAGGCTCAGCAGGGCAGGTAAACTAAAAGACATGCTGAATAGTCTGCTGAAGTTATTTCTCTCTACTTTATATCTATAAATGTGCCAAGCAGGCAAATGCTAGAAATGGATATAATGTGGAATTCTGTGAACTAAGAAACTCTGGAGACATGATTCAGAATACGTGAAGCCTACAGCTTCTGGAATTCATTATGACCAATGTGACCTCTCAGTTGCACACATCAGCTCTTTGAACTTGGTTGGCCAAGTTTCCCTACTATCTGCAGGTTTACCTCTTAAAGTTAAAAAAAAAAATCAGTAAAGATGAATATATTTTCGAAATTTGACTTTAGATATAGACAGCTGCATTTACTGCCAAGGTTTATCTTCATAATATTAATCACTGCATCCAGAGCCTACCAAGCTGTTTCCTTTGTGTTTTTCAGTTCAAGATAACAGGTTTTTGTTTGTTTGATTGATTTTTTCATTATTTTTACTTTACATATAGAGAACAGGTTCTTAAGGGTTCATAGGCTCTCTTATCAGTGAAACACAGACTGCCAAACAAGAGAATTGAGTTTTGCTTCCTTTTGTCTATAATTCAGGCACATGCCAGTATTAGATACCCACACTACAGCTATGCGAGGAGGCACCGGAGAAGAAAAAAACGTCTGCTGACCATTCACCACTGTAACACTGCCCCTCTCATCTGCCTCTGTGTTACCTTTGGTCATCTGTTGCATTCTGATTGCTGTTTAGGACAATTCTCCACAGATCCGAGGACACTAGTTTCTTCTGGTCACTCACAAGATTGATATCTGGCAACTGCAATTCACAAACTTTGCTTTCAGACAGACTGAATTCTTGAAATGCAACAAAAACCTTCTGGAGTTCATCCCAATATTCCAAACTACAAGGGACCTATAGGAAAACAATGGAAAAAATTCAAAGTTATATATTAGAAACTACGGGGCTGCAGAAAATAGTCCAGTGCTCTTGTAAGGTATATAGGTTCAGTCTCCAGCACTGATACGGCAACTCACAACTGTCTGTAACTCCAGAAGACACGACACCCTCTTCTGACCTTGAGGGCAGGACACATGTACATGATACATAGACACACAACAGGCTAAATACCCATACATATAAATTAAGCAAATAAAATTAAAAAATAGTATCAAAAGTATGCTATGTACTTACTGAAGTGCAAATTAAACATTCACAGAAGTTATAACCTTATGACTTGATAGGAAGAGAAAAAGGTATAAAATACAATGCTTTAAGACATCCTTTCCAGTTACATTAACCTGGCTTACTCTAGAAGACTCATTAAAACAAAGAGACAAACAAAAAAAACCCCCTCATTTAGTAGTCAAAACTTCCACAGTTTTCTACATGAAAAAAAAAAAAAAGGGGGGGGGGGAAGAATACTACGTATTCAAAGGATAAGGTGGAGTTAATATACAAATAGATTAAAGAAACAGTAAGAGTCAAGTTTTGATGAAAATTTACCCTGTTAGGAGCAAAACCAAAAGAGATTGTGACAGCATTCCTTATACAAAAGTTTAGGATCAAAACACTGAAGACTACAAAATGAAAGCATAAAAGAAAGCTGATAATTTTGATTTTGAAACAGGAAAGTATTTCTATGTATGCAACAAGACTCAGGAATTGAAAAAAAAACTTTATTGATAAAAATCAAATATAAAGGCTAGGAGAGGCAAGACTCAATGAGAAATCAGGCACTATTTGTTCAGACAGGAGAGAGCTCTTATAAACCAACTGTGAAGCACATGTTCTAATACATATGTGCTTTAAAGAGGTATACCATCTAGCCCCACATACCTCAGCTATACCTAATGTTCACTGCAGTAGAGCATTCCCCAAAGGCCTTTTTGCATGGCCTTTGTTAGAAGGCAAGGGGAAACCAATGCAAATATGATCCTCATTGCTTGTGTGTTATCTGTAATGCTTTTTGTTTCTAACCTAGGGGTCTTTATGCTTTTCCACAAAGCACTTACCACTTGCAAAGCACTAAAGCACAGATCCTAACAGCAACTAATTCACAGAATAAATAAAACTGTCTAGTAGACATGAACATTACTAATACTCAAGAAATGCAAATTTATGGAAATGTAACAATGAAGTTAATTAATATTAATCAATGCATTTATCAATGAATGTATTTAATAATATGGTATCTTAAGATTGACAGACTCAGTTTTTGCACAGGCATGTGAAAAAACCCACATTCCTAGGTTCTATGAATTAAGTGCTTTTAGCTGTTACTCAGATTATTTCAAATGCTTCGTTTTACTGTTACTGCAATGCAAAAGAGTATGTGTATGTACATGTGTGTCTCTCTTACACGTACATTATGTGTTTGTATATGTACTTCAACAGTATCTAGCAGGAAAAGGAGAAACAATTCAAATATCTATCAGTGGGAACTGTTATAGATTTAGAATGGATTTATACACAATGATCAAAATGAGTAACAAATATCCACATACACAAAAATACATGGGATATGTTATTAAACTTAAAATTTTAGTTTTAAGGTGACAACATATGGATTAAGCCTATTTGTCTTAAGAGAGTACTGTTCTAAGATGTGTTTCCTCTTTTGGAAGCTTTCCCTACTTGCCATGCTCACAGCTGGTAACTACCTCTTTGCTTCACCTCTATTCTTAGCATATGCCTCTATCATACAGCATTAGACCCCTTAACCCCTTATATTCTAGATTATTCTAGACTCTGAGACCCATGATTGAAGAAAGAGCGTATTATTTTACAATTTGTCTTTAGCATTTAAAGCAATTTTGAGGCAATAAGATCTAAAAACAAACAAACAAACAAAACCCCCCAAACCTTTCTAAGTACACTTCCCTTTCTTAATAAGTATTTCATCATTCATCAAGAATGTATTTTATTTCTACCTACAATGAAGTTCATGCACACATACAAATGTGAAGGACAGCTATCAGGATCCAGTGTTTTCCTTAATCACTCTTCATATTATTTTTTGAGACAGCATCTTTCACAAACATATAGTCTACTGATTGGTTAGACTGGCTAGCCAGCAAGACTCAGGGATCTTCCAGTTTTGACCTTCTCGGATTATAAGTGAGGGCTGCTACGCTGACTTTTTATGAGTCCTGGGGATCTGAACTCTGGCTTACTGGTATGATGAAACACTATGACCAAAAGCAAGTTGGGGAGGAATGGGTTTATTTGGCTTACATTTCCACATTGTAGTCAATCACTGAAAGAAGCCAGAGCAAGGACTTACAAAAGGCTGGAACTCAGAGGCAGGAGCTGATGTACAGGCATGGCCTGCTCTCTACGGCTTTCCCTATACAATGCAGTCCCCGCAGTTCAGGGATACTACCACTCACAGTGAGATGGGCTCTCCCCCATCAATCACTAATTAAGAAAATGTCCTGCAGACTGAGCTTATGGGGGCATTTTCTCAACTGAGGTTCCCTCCTTTCAGGTAAGTTTGTGTCAAGTTGAAAAAAAACAAAACAAAACAAAACAAACAAACAAAAAAAAACTATCCACTACAGGCAGAAAGAACTTTACCCGCTGAGTCATCTCTCAAGGCCCATGATCACGATGTGTGAGGAAAGAAATGCTGGATGAAGAAGAAAAGAAATCAAGATGCATGAATACATTGAAGCAGATGTGTATGTTTGGGGAACTTAAAAGTAAAATATTCACAGTATCCAGTGCACACTACTGCTTCATGAGATTTGGTTAGTTAGGCATGGTGGTGTGCATATGTAACGCCAGCATTTGTGTGGTGGAGGAAGGATAATCGAAGTTCAATATTATCCTCAACTATACAGGCACAAAAGGAGTTGGAGGCCTACCTGTGTGAAAAGAACAAAACAAAACAAAAAGAAAATCAAGAAGCATCTCTAGTCATCAGGGAAATGCAAATCAAAACGACCCTGAGATTCCACCTTACACCTATCAGAATGGCCAAGATCAAAAACTCAAGTGACAACACATGCTTGAGAGGAGATAGGGCAATCCTCCATTGCTGGTGGGAATATAACCTTGTACAACCACTTTGAAAACCAATCTGGCACTTTCTCAGAAAACTGGGAATAGTGCCACCTCAAGATCCAGCTATACCACTCTTAGGCTTGTATCTGAAAGATGCTGTACCATACAACAAGGACATCTGTTCAACCATGTCTGTAGCAGCTTTATTTGTAATAGCCAGAATCTGGGAACAACTCAGATGTCCCTCAACTGAGGAATGGATACAGAAATTGTGGTACATCTACACAATGGAATACTACTCAGCAATTAAAAACAAGGAAATCTTTTTAATTGGATTACTTGGTTTGTTGGTGTTTAACTTCTTAAGTACTTTATAAATTCTGGATATTAGGCCTCTGTCAGATATAGGTTTAGTGAAGATCCTTTCCCCAATCTGTAGGCTGTCATTTTGTTCTGATGACAGTGTTCTTTGCTTTACAGAAGCTTTTCAGTTTCATGAGGTCCCATTTGTTGATTGTTGATCTTAGAGCCTGTGCTGTTGGTGTTCTGTTCAGGAAGTTGTCTCCTGTGCCAATGAGTTCAAGGATTTTCCCCACTTTTTCTTCTAACAGGTTAAGTGTGTCTGGTTTTATGTTGAGGCCTTTGATCCACTTAGACTTAAGTTTTGTGCAGGGTGATAAATATGGATTTATTTGCATTTTTCTACATGTAGACATCCAGTTAGACCAGCACCAATTGTCGAAGATGCTACCTTTTTTTCACTGAATTGTTTTGGCTTCTTCATAAAAATAATATCAAGTATCTATAGGTGTGTGGGTTTATTTCTGGGTCTTCTATTTAATACCATCGATCCACCATCTGTTTCTATGCCAGTATCATGCAGTTTTCATTACTGTTGCTCTATAGTACAGCTTGAGATCAGAGATGGAGATACTTCCAGAAGATCTGTTATTGTACAGGATTGTTTTAGGTATCCTGGGTTTTTGTTTTTCTATATGAAACTGAAAATTTTTCTTTCAAGTTCTGTAAAGAATTGTGTTGGCATTTTGATGGGAATTGCACTGAATCTGTAGATTGCTTTTGTAGGATGGCTATTTTCACTATGTTAATCCTACTGATCCATGAGTAAGGGAGACCTTTCCATCTTTCTGATATCTTCTTCTATTTCTTTCTTCAGGGACTTGTAGTTGTTTTTCATACAGGTCTTTCACATGCTTGGTTAGAGTTACATCAAGGTACTTTATGTTATTTGTGGCTATTGTCAAGGGAGATGTTTCCCTAATTTCTTTTCTTTTTTTTTTTTTAATTTTTTTATTTTTATTTTATTTTTCTTTTTAGTTACATTTTGTTAACTCTGTGTCCCAGCTGTATCCCGCTCCCTCATTCCCTCCCCAACCCCACACTCCCTCCCTGGTCTCCTCCCTGCCCCTTTCCAAGTCCCCTGATAGGGGAGGACCTCCTCCCCTTTCATCTGACCCTGTTTTATCAGGTATCTTCAGGGCTGGCTGCAAAGTCCTCCTCTGTGGCCTAACGGACTGCTCCTCCCCTGGGGTGGGGGTCAAACAGCCTGCCCTTGAGATCCTATTAGAAATAGTCCGTGTTCCCCTTACTTTGGAAAACTACTTGGTTACTGAGCTACCACAGGCCACATCCGAGCAGAAGTTCTAGGTTATATCCATAGATGGTCCTTGGTTGAGTGTCAGTCTCAGAAAAGACCCTGTGCCCAGATATATTTGGTCCTTGTGGAGCTCCTATCCTTTCCATATCATACTAACTTCCCTTCTTTCATATGATTCCCTGCACTCTGCCGAGGGTTTGGTTATGAGTCTTAGTGTCTGCTTTGAAACACTGCTAGGTAGAGTCTTTCAGATGCCTTTTGTGATAGACTCCTGTCATAAGTTCAATGC